ATTCAAAAGATATAAGGAGAGGAGAAAGGCAATATTAACTTACAATACAAGTTCAGTGTCCTAGAAGGATCTGATCTTACAAGTTAATAGAATCTTATTAGGGGGCTCGAGTGGGCACTAGTAAAGTCTCCATTGTGACACTTGTTACTATGTTTGGTATATTGAATACGTCACGAGAAGCTTGCCAGGTTCTGCTGTGCGGGCAGGATATTCTCGGTAGCTTGCTGGGCTGTCCGAGAGAGAAGGAGGAATCAAACCCAGGTTAGCTGTGTGCAGGGCAAATGCCCTACCCACTGTGCTATCGCTCCAGCCCATGCACTTGAAAAAAATATTCCACATCATAAATAATTAGGAAAATGCAGATAAACTGAGATATTCACTTTCACTTAGATGGTAAAAATGGTAATACTGAAACATAAACAGGGTTGAGGACATGGATTGTCCTAGTAGAAATGATACAGTCACTGTCGGAAAGATTTTGATAGTTCCTCAAAGAGTTAAACATTAAAGTTACCAAGTATATATGGAATATGGAAACTTAAGCAAATAGTTTCCTTAATGCTTGCTGTAGCGTATTCACAATAGCCAAAAAGTTATTAACAACTCAAATTTCTAAAACAGATAAATATATATGACAGTGACAGTGATATGTATATGTGTATATATATATACATATACATATATATACATATATCACTGTCATCCCGTTGTTCATCGATTTCCTCGAACAGGTACCAGTAACATCTCCTTCGTCCTAGCCCTGAGATTTAGAAAGTGCCATATTCAATGCTCTTTCAGGGTTAAGGGAATGAGATCCATCATTGTTACTGGGTTTTAGCATATTGAATACGACACGGGGAGTTTGCCAGACTCTTCCATGTGGGCAGGTTACTCTCGGTAGCCTGCTGGGTTCTCCAAGAGTAAGAACTAGACAATAAGAGGTCATGCAGCTGTGAATGCGACCACACACTTCTGGGAGCTGGGTTTTATAGTGTCTGGGTATTGGCCGTTGTTGGGATAGCATGGCACCAAGGGCAGTTGGTGTGTGTAATGCCAACCTACTGGAAGATGGGGGATCTGGGTACAGGAGGCACAGTCCAGATCTCAGCCCTGGATCCTGCATGCCTGGGTTTCTCAGCCAGATCCTTCATGTGTGAGGCTTGTCTGAACGTGTAGAGAAAGGTCTTAAGCATGGCTGTGGCTGAGATCTCCAAGCCTGCTTGGATTGGGACTGAGCCTCCTCCACCAAGATCCCTCATCTTCCAGTAGGTAGACGTTACACCACCCAACTGTACCCGGCACTGTGTTAGCCCATAAATGGCCAAGACCCAGAGACTATAAAACCCAGCTCCCGGGAGAGAATAGTGCAGTCTCCTTACCCCGCGCCTGGCTGTCCTCACCGGGGCCCCTTGGAGGGGGGTGGGTTGGCTTCCCTCCCCACCCCAAGCAGAGCCCCAGCAGACAAAGACCTCTGAAACCATGCTTACAGCAAAACACACACACACACACACACACACACACATATACATATATATGTATTGGAATAGTGTACAACCATAAAAAGAAACATATTTCTGAAACATGCTACAGCATGTTTAATTCTTGAAAACATTATGTGAAATAAAAATAACTCAGACATGAAAGAAAAAATTTTGTATGCTCCTAAAGGCTCGAGCGGGCCCAGTAACGTCTCCATTGGAGACTTTGTTGTTACTGTGTCTGGCATATCGAATACTCTCGGTAGCTTGCCGGGCTCTCCGAGAGGGGCGGAGGAATCGAACTCGGCCGACCCGAGTTCGATTCCTCCGCCCCTCTCGGAGAGCCCGGCAAGCTACCGAGAGTATTCGATATGCTCCTAAAGATCTAGGCCAATTCTGTCTCTAATTTGCCACAGATGTTTATCCAAGTAGGTCAAATATTAAGGTAGAACAAACTCCACCTTGTTCAGCTTGTAAATGCATAAAAGCAATTTTATTATCTAGAATAATTCACTTAAATGAATCTAATAACTTTCTTGGATCACTGTTTCAGAATGAGCAATGTTCCCCAAGGTTTTAGTTGAATTTCTGATTTTTATATCATTTCCATTCAGCTAAGTCTTAAAAGAATGTATTCTTATAAAAGCATTTTTGTTTTATTGATACCACCAGGTGATACACCGTTTGTTATGCTTTCAATTAACTTTACAGTTTGTACTATAATATAGAGTTAAAAATATGGCCCATTTCAGGGTTCCTGGTTGATTATATAATGAAATAGATGTCACTAATAATTCAACTACTGTAAACAAATTTAAAAGAATTCAGAATTGAGTCCAGTTTACAGGTAAAAAATAAGATCTTAGAAATAACTCTAGTTGTAGGATTTAATATGTAAAAGTACAAACATTTTTTTTTCTAATTTCTCGGGTTTTGGGGGTGGGGATGATACTGCGAGATATACCTGGCTTTGCTCAGGGCTTACTCCTGGAATTTTCCCAATTTTGATTGAATATAATCAGAAAAAATAAATTGTTTTGAAAAACAAGTTTAGTTTCAACAAACATGACCTAGTTTTTAAAAATTAAATACAGAAAGAATAGCAATTAACTCCATAGGCACTTTTAACTTCAAAGTAAAAAGATAACTAAGCTGCTACTTTGTCATTTTATTTACTTGTAAAACTGTTTTTTTTTTATTTTTATTGCCAGGAAGTAAGACTATTTATTAAGCTTCTACATTCAGTAGGAAGAAAAAGTGAGTGTTTTGTTCCTTAGAGTTATATTTTACCAGATTGTTGGTAGCTTCTTACACAGATCTAAAGAGGGCATCATTTAAATCAAAACAGTGCGATATCATCTTACACCACAGAGATTGGGATACATCAAAAAGAACAAGAACAACCAGTATGGGCATGGACGTGGGGAGAAAGAGGATCTCTTTCATTATTCTAGGAATGCTGACTGGTCCAGCCTTTCTGGAAACCAGTACGTGTATTCCTCAAAAAACTAGAAATTGAGCTTCCATATGACCCCACAACACAACTTTTTGGAATATATTCCGGGGTTGCAAAAAGCACAGTAGAAATCACATCTGCAACTGTATGTTCATTGCAGCATTGTTCACAGTAGCCAGAATCTGAAAACAACTGGAGTACCCAAGAACACACAACTGGTTAAAGAAACTTTGGTACGTCTACACAGTGGAATGATGTTGGAGAGAACTCTTGGGATGGGGAATGTGTGCTGAAAGTAGATAAAGGACCAATAACAATGGCCTCTCAGCATCTGTATTGCAAACCATAATGCGCCAAAGTAGAGAGAGAGAGAGAAGAAAATGGTCTGTCACAGAGGCAGGGGTTCAGGTGGTGTGCGAGCAGTGGAATGGGTACTGGGGACATTGGTGGTGGAAAATATACACTGGTGTAGGGATGGGTGTTTGATAATTGTATGACTGAAACTCAGTCATGAAAGATTTGTAACTATATCTCGCAGTGATTCAAAAAAAAAAGTACTGTAGCACTGTCCTCCCATTGTTCATCAATTTGCTCAAGCGGGCACCAGTAACGTCTCCATTGTGAGACGTGTTACTGTTTTTGGCATACCAAATATGCCACGGGTAGCTTGCCAGGCTTGCCGTGCAGGTGAAATACTCTTGGTAGCTTCCTGGGCTCTCCAAGAGGGGTGGAGGAATCGAACCCAGATTGGCCATGTGCAAGGCAAACACCCTACCTGCTATGCTATTGCTCCAGCCCTTAAAAATAAATAAATAAAAATGAATAAAGAGGGCATATTTGTCACACAGAATTGGGCAGGCAGGAAGTGTATTCTAACTATGAGTTATGAAGACTTTAATAAAAAAACCAAAATGATTACAAATAGCTAACTAAAATTGTTAGTATAAGCAAAGCATTTATGGAACTCTGTAAGAGATTTGGGATGTATTTTGATATTCTCCAGTAAATTCAAAGGTAAGCCCAGATTTGTACTGTGCTCAAGGCTTACTCCTGGCCCTGTGCTCAGGGATGATTTCCTGTGATGATCTGTGGAACATATAGAGTGGTGGGAATCAGGATCAGCTATATGTAAGGGATCTATCCTCAGAGTGAACACTGAAGTGTTATGTTTGTATGATGAGTCACTGGGTTCATAATATAGATATCACATATAAAACTTAAAAGACTAATTTTAGTGTCCAGGGTTTGTTGTTGTTGTTTCTATGATAGAAATGAACTTGTCTCTCTTAGGTGAAAACAGTGGAAAATATGTTTTTTAACACAATATTAGAATACTAAAACTTCAGTCTATGCATCTAATTTTCTCTTGTTTCTTTAATTTTAATAAGGCACATTATGAAGCATTGGTGTGTTTTATCTACTTTTATTAATTGATTCCATATATATAGTACTGTCAGGTTCAGAAAAGGAAAATTAACAAATGAAACTAACATAAAAGATTCTTTTAATTTTACCAAATTTATTGATCAATATATTCTATATTTCTTAATAACAAATGTGTTAATTACTGCAGACAAAATCTAATTCCTGTCTACTCTAATAATAGTTGACCCTATACTCACTATTTCCAAAGGTGGAGTTTAGTTCAATGATCTGGAATTTTCTAGAGAGAAATCTATAGAACTACGTGAATGATCCCAGCTGCTTTTCAATGAATGCAAATGCCAACAAGATGCTATTACAGTGTTCTTATTAGTCAGATACTTTGAATCTGAACAAATGATTTAGAACCAACTATGAAAATTGTCTCTCCTTTTACAGGGAATACTAGAATATTACCTTACAAAACTTCCTTCAAAAAAAGTAAGGGAGGGAAAGAAAGAGACAAAGGCAGATATTAGTGAAAAAGAGGTAAAACCAATTCTAAATTACAATTTAGGTATACTAAATACGTTTCAGAAAAACTCACCATATGAAACCAACATTAATGCAGTAAGTGAAGACAGTTAAAAAAATCTGGTATTTCTTGATCTTAGAAGTTGAGAGTCTTCAAATCTGCTCTTTTGTTAGAAACCTCTGGTTAGGATAGTCTTTGTCTTCCATAGCACCCTTACAGATGCTTCTCTCAACTTATTGTTTCCTAGGATTAGAATAAATGAATGGGCTGAAGGATAAATTAGAGCTATCAAGTCCCCAACCAACACAGCTAGTTCAGTCTCTGATATAAAGTAGTTGGACGTGGCTATGAGAAAAGCCAAACAATAGACAATGAAAAGACAGAGGAAGGTGATGACAGTCTTCATGGCTCCCAAGTGGGCATCTCTGCTTGGGTCTCTGTGTCTGCTGCCACTGAGCTGCATCTTCCTGTTGTGCTTCCACAGGGAGAGGATCAAGAAGCAAAAGGAGACCAGTGACACAGAGAAGGGAAATACAGTTAAAAGGTTGAGAATCATCTTGGTGGACTCGTATTGAGCTATATTTACTCTACACTTCAATGTTCCATTTCTTTTCTTCTTTACCTTGACACAGTATCTGAAATCATCGTTCAAATTCTCAGTGACAACAAGGCTGATCAACACAGAGAGGACCACGCACCCCAGCAGGATCTTAAGAATCACCCGATCAATTCTCCACTTCATCCAGAGGAAAAGGGGATGCCTGAAATTAGCTATCTTGAGGAAATAGAAGAGACAGAGGCAGGTGGCAAACCACACACTGAGATGGTTGGTGAGTGTCCAGAAGAAGTCAAAGACTTTCATTTGTGTGCCGGCAGTATAGCCATTTGGATACTGCACCAACATAAAATAGTCTAACATTATTATGCAGAGTAGCCAGATTCTGGAAATAGCCAGACATGTGAGAATTAAATCAATGGAGGCCATCTTCCTTTTCTTGATCCAGTCCAAGCAGTTTACCAGTCCAATAAATGCGTTCCCTAAGATTCCCATCAAGAATTCTCCAGCTGCTATGATCATTAAGGTGCTGTTCACCTCACCTGACATATTAAAAAGCAGAAATATGCAATTTCTTTCTAACTGAATGGATGGAGTTCTATATCTATACCTACTTCTTAGTTTCACTGTAATTCCGTCTTGTGATGGATACTGAGTGGTCTTTCTTCATTAAATTCTGATTAGTCTTAACAAAACCATAAGATTGATGATGTTTAGCCTGGCACCTGTATATCCTTATATCTTCTCAGTGTGTTTCACTTTTCTGCAGTTACATCATGCTAATATGCAAATTAGGTTTATTACCTTATATGGTGCCACAAGTCTTTCTGAGCCTATGTTGTGCAAATCTTATGTTTATAAATCTGTAAGTCAGGAACCCAACAAAACTGATAAATTTAAGAAGTTAAAACACAGGACTATCAGTTAAAATTTAATTTCAAATAATCAATGTATTATATTTTAGTGTATGTTACAAATTTCTTAACTTTACTACTTCCCAGAAATAAGGAAATTTAATTTCATTTGTGTAGCCCACATTTTATTTGGCTGACCAATCCTTAAGGATTGTCTATAAATGATAAAGTTGGCAATAAAATAGTTTGTACAGATAATTTGATTTAATTGTATGACAATATTAACTATAACTAAGATTACAAAATCTGGTAGATTTTTACTTAATTTAAAATATTAAAATATTTTATTTAATATTAAATATTATTAAAAGATCAAATACAGATTATTTACTTCTAGAAAGACTTGTTTGTGTACTTTGGTCAGTCAGAATAATAATTACATGGCATAAAGTATTTTAAATAAAGCACTATTTGAATGCTTGTTATGGTTTTTAGAGATATTTTAAACATTGGCTATACCAAAAGCAAAATTGAGAAGTAAGGATTTTAGATTAATGGAGGGTAACTTACCCTGAGGCTTACAAAACATTTATTTCATCTACACATAGAAAAAATATAAACTATATCACAACTCAAAATATATTTTACAGAAATTATCAATGCATTCCACAAAAAGGATATCAATTTTTCTGTATTATACAAGGAGCAATTTTATTTATTTTATTTAAATTTATTTATTTTTTTAAATTTTATTGAATCACCGTGAGATAGTTACAAGCTTTCATGTTTGGGTTACAATCACACAATGATCAAACACCCATCCCTCCACCAGTGCACATTCCCCACCACCAATATCCCCCTTATACCCCCCAGTTTCCCACCCTCCCCCTGCATCCATTGCAGACATGATTCCCCATACTCTCTCTCTACTTTTGGGCATTATGGTTTGCAATATAGACCCTGAGAGGTTATCATATTTGGTCCTTTATCTACTTTCTGCACATATCTCCCATCTTGACCGATTCCTCCAGCCATCTTTTATTTTTAGTGATCCCTTCTCTATTCCAGCTGCCTTCTCCCCTTTGCTCATGAGTCAGGCTTCCAGCTATGGAGCAATCTATCTATCCCGCGTACCTACTGTCCTTAGGTGTCAGCCTCATGTTATGTTGTTTTATACTCCACAAATGAGGGCAGTCCTTCTATGTCTGTCCCTCTCTTTCTGACTCATATCACTTAGCATGATACTCTCCATGTCTATCCATTTATAAGTAAAGTTCATGCCTTCATCTCTCCTGACAGCTGCATAGTATTCCATTGTATAGATGTACCAAAGTTTCTTTAACCAGACATCTGTTGTAGGGCAACAAGTAGCAATTTTGATAGCTAGGATATTTGAGTTGAGGATGCTAATACACTTAAAACTGGATTATACAGGTTGCCTTTTATATGATAATATGCAGAAAATTATATTAGTCAGGTATTTAATATTTTGTATATAATTAAAGCAGAATAGTAGACTGAAATGGAACCAAATTGGACACAGAAAATTGAGAATAGCTATCTTGAATTGAAACGACCTTAGATGTGCTAGATTAAGCATTTCAGTAACACTCTTGTGAGGAGGAATTTTCCACACGGAATCATGCATTTTCACAGTCCTTTTCTGTAATTTATATGTGTATGTTATGACAAATATTGCTCTTATTGAAAGAATGTAATTTTTTCATAGTATATACTTTTTTATTTTTGATCATAGTATATTCTTATATATCTCAACTCCTCTGTTAAGACCCAAGTGAATGGAATTCCTGCAAGCCTTATTAAGAAAAGGAATCTGGGGGCCAAAGTAATACTACAGCAGGGAGGAGCTTACATTGAATGTGGCTGACCGAAGTTCAATCCCTGGCATTCCATATGGTCCCCAGAGTACTGTTAGGAGTGACTCCTGAACATAGAGCCAGAAGTAACCCCTGAGTACCGCTGTGTGTGACCCCCAATCAAACAAACAAACAAACAAAAAACAAAGAAAGTACAAAAAAGGAACCTGAATGAAACATTAGTATCAGGTTTTCCAATCCTCTTATTCATTTTATGAAGATGAATGGAAAACCTTTTCAAGAGCTATTAACATAGATACTATCCCGATCTTTGTGTATTAAAAAGTAAGTTGCTTTTAATTTCTAGGAAAATAAATAAACAGTGCTTGAACAATATCAACCAGGAAATAATGCCTGAAAGGTAACCTAAAGCATCACTCACTTGCACAGAAAGGGGTACACAACCAGAAAACTGAATCAAAGACAGGCCACAGAGATCCAGATTCCTAATCATCACGTCAGATAGAGCTGACCCAGCAGAGTCATGAGGAAGGAGCTCTCAAAGGGCATCAATGCAGTTCTATCATACATAAGAGTGAGAAAATCATGAGGAAAACAAATTTCTCATTTCAAAAAAAAAAAGAGACAAAAGTTCAGGTACCTTTGACCATGGAGCAAAATAAAATCTCAAAGGAATTTAACTAATTTATGTATGTTTAATATTTGAAATGATAAGACAAGAAAAGTGAGCTCGGGTTCCTGAGAGAAGGTGAGAATAGAACTAAGAATGTCTGTGGTAGAGAAATAAAGGATATATTAGCTCTCACACCATTGATAAGTATCCAAAGGAAATGGACTAAATAGATAAATGAAATGAACCTGTAAGAAAGTTGACAACAGGATTTGCTTTAAAATTAGTCTATTTTATGAAGCTATTAATTTATGTTAGGCAGGCGATTATTTCCCCCTTGTATCTTAATATCCTGACTGGTGCTTGCCTCAGATTGCAATTTCCCATAATTAAAATAAGGGAGTGGGCAGAGGGGTAGAGAATCATTATAATTCTTCCAAGCCTACAAGCTAACGTTTTTTCTTCTATTAGGTGGCAATAAGTTACTAAAAGACTAGCCCCATAGTATACCAAAAGGAGGAAAAGAAAAGAAGTCACATTTTTCATGGCGGTGATATGGGCTTCTGTGCTGGGGTCTTTCCAGTCTGTAACATTGAGTTTCATTTGCTTGGTATGTCTCCACAGAGACAAAATTAACAGGAAAAATGAAATCAATGACACGGTAATTGGGACAACTGCCAAAAGGTTAGAGAGGGTTGATGGGTTGAAATATTTAATTTCACTCACATGGAACATTTCAGTGATGTTTCTTTGACGTTTTCTAAATCTATAACTGTCTTTATAATAATTTGGTATTGCTGTCATAACGCTGCTCACGGAGCAAATGGCCAAGCCCACTGGCAAGATCCAGTAAATCGCCCTGTCAATCCTCCATTTTAGCCAGAGAAAAAGTGAACTGGAGAAATTCGCTATCTTCAGCAAGTAGAAGACATTGAGGCAGGCGGCAAACCACAAACTTGAGTAGTTGATGAGTACCCAGAAGGCACTGAGTACTATCACTAGTTTAACATGTTCATAAAAATCTGGATAGAGTATCCTTACAATGTCACCTACTATTATTCTGATGAGCAAACAAATTCTGGAAATAGCCAGACTTTTGAGGATGTAGTTAAGTGAGGGGGTTTTATTCTTCTTAAAAGAGTCGATACAGGAAATTAGTCCAATGTACCCATTTGCCAACATACCTATCATAAATTCTCCAGCCATAATAATCAAGATGATATCTTCTTTAGTGAACATGTTGGTAGCGATGTTCCACTGTCACTCCAGATAGACTAATACACAAACTGTTGGAGCATGATAAATTCCTCAAGTCACAGAATCATTTTTCATTTGTCATTATTTTTATTTTGATATTTTCCCAGGAGTACCCAGTGCTCCTCAGAAATCAGATAATTTCTTCATTTATGACAATGATAACAACTTCAAACAGCTTGTCTAGGTTTGTAGCCAGGAAAAATAATAGTTATCACCTTTTAGTCAGTGAAAACTGAAATGTTGAGTTAAAAACTGCACTCATGCAAATTTTCAACGATTGCATTTCATGAATTTGCAATAGACTTCCTGCTGTCATATTCTGCATATTAGAACCTATCAAATTACATTTTGAATAGTGAGACTCAAAAAAAGCAAGCAAGCATGTATTTAATAAAAATTAAAAGACATAAATGAAATTTCATTAATTAAAAGCTACTCATGAGTCAGTTCTTCTCATGAAAATGGGTTTTAGTTTAGGGAACGATAAATGAATATGTAGATTGTAGAAAGCATTCAGACAGAAGTTTATAATTTTTGCTTCCATATAAATGGCTAATTTGCTATAAATATGAATATAATTACAAATGGCATAATTATTACCCAAATATTCACATAAAAGTAATTGAGAAGAATTTATTCTGGGAAGTTGCTTATTAGAAGTGAAAGATGATAAAAACTCAGATACCTTTAGTTTTATTTAATGTGGCAAATGCTACCCATGACAATTAATTCCTGAAAGATCTCTTGAACAGTAAACATTCCGATGTAAAATGTAATGAAATTAAGATTTTAAATTATTCTAGTTACAACCAATTCCTTTTATAAGATTATAATCTCACATTCTACATTGCAATCATTTCTTAAGATGTGACAATCACATTCAATAATAGTTTTCGCTAGGATTGAGCTTTTGTATGACCCAGCAATTCCACCTCTTGGCATCTACCTCAAAAACTCTAATCAGGAAAGACATGTGTGCTCCTATGTTCA